ATTTAGCCCTGGGATATTAATGCAATGTTGTTAATTACACCCAAACTGTTAACCGGCAAAACAGAATAAAAGCAAACAAAAAACACAGAATAATTAACATTCATTAAAAGACCAGAACAATTAACATTCATTAAAAGACCAGAACAATTAACATTCATTAAAACACCAGAAACCATACTGTGAATAATTAGCGGGAACAGTTCCCAAAAAAGGAGCCTTGGGTTATTCCAGCTTCAGCCTATTCTGTAAACCATGGCATAACAATAGAGATGGAAAGCAGCTGCCACGTGATCTCTTCTTTATTCCATACCTCGAAGGAAACAATTTGGGGGATGGAGATTTTCTCCCTGAAATATAGGGTGATCTAAACCAGGAATTTCTGCAGGATTTGATGCATTCATCCGAATGACCAAAGCAGCATCGCTCTTTTAGGTACACGTGTGGCTCCCAATAAAAGGACAGAAGGAGACAGGGCGAAGCTTGGATGGGGATGGGATCCTTTCTGTTCATCTGCCTTCGTTTGACATACACACACACACTGATGCTTCCATGCCAGTCTGTAGAGATTCCCAGTCATCAAGGTAATGGTGGTCCCAAAGGCGCTTTCTCAGGAGGCAACTGGACTTTCGTGTGTTTTCTTTGAAGACGTTTCGAAGCTTTTTCATCTCTGACAGGACAGCGGGGAATGGAAGGAACGGAGCCCACTATCCACTATCGGAGCTGAAGAAGCTTCTTGGAGGAGAAGCAAAACGTCTTCAAAGAAAACACAAGAAAGTCCAGTTGCCTCCTGAGAAAGCACCTTTGGGACTTCCGTGCCAGTGTTTCTCAATCTTAGCAAAACTCTCAAATGCGGGGACTTCGATTCACGGAATTTTTAAAGTTGCCAAGGTTGAGAAGCGCTATTCTGGGCCAAGCCAATAAAACCTCTCTGCTCGCTGAAGAATGACCGGTGGCATCTTACTGTAAACTCAGCAGAGGCAAAACTAGGAAGCGTTTCTTTCCTCTGCCCACGAGAGGGCCCTGGGGTTTTTCTTTGCTAGACCCGAAATCCCAGCTAGCTTTCTTTCTTCTTCGCTGAGGACGGAGCGCTGTTTTGTTTTCCGGGTTATCGGGAAGTTGCTGCGATCGTTTCGCTACAGGGCCGTCCTATTTAAATGCACGAAGGTCTAGCAGAGAAAAAAATATCTCTCTTTCTCCTTTTTGGCTGAATCCTAAAGTAAGAATTATTGTCCTTCTCCAGCAGCCGGATATTCGGCTAAAAAGGCTTCTTGACCCAGGGCTGAACCTGGGCAGGTAGAAAGCAGGTGGGTCCCCATCGTTCCCTCCACCCATCCACATCTTTGTGCATCTGCTCATCCCTGCAGTTCCAATGTTGTGTAGTCGTTCACAGCAACAGAGAGTCTCTTTTGAGCCCCGGCTTTGCTGACTAGTTTTTTTCTCCAACCTGGGAAGATTTATTTCTCAGTATTTTGGTGCCGGGAGGGGGTGGGGGGAGATCTGCGATGCAAACTCGGTCTCTTCTCTACGCAGAGAAAATCTTAAAAGCAGATGAATTCCAAACAGCATTAGATGGCAATCAATGGGATCCTATTATTTGCAGGGAAACCATCTTAGTACAATTAAAAGCCCAATGGGGTGATATTTTGTCAGGTACTGAGGATTTAATAGCTGCCAGCTGATATAAAGTTGTAGACTGCAATGGCTGATGCAAGGAGGAGGACTAATTGCATGGTAGGTGTCTATATATATATATAGGTAGTCATTAGAGGGTGTTTCTCCCTCGCATCGTATATTTCATTTCTGTCCTTGTATTTCATTTCTGTGCTTCTGTCTGAGCTGAATGGTAGGGGATTTTAGCTACCACATATATGTTTGTATATATTTATATATAAACCACTGTTAATAAAGGCTCTGTGCTGTGTTTTGCTCCTGGGTTTATCTCATAATAATAGCCACGCTGCCAAAACTCTGACATATTTATCTGTGGAGAGGGGCAGAAAACCCAAAGCAGTAAGTATGTGCCTGTGTTTCTCCCCACTCACCCCATTTTGTCACTTACGAAGTATTTTACATGCCTTGTGCCTTGCTTTTGCTGTTCTTGGATGCAGTTTTTTCATTCCCTTTGCTATTTTTGTTTTCAGTATGGTTCGCTGCCCAATAAGTGAGATATATGTTGCTTTTCTCCTAAAACTAGTTGCAAACTTTCCTTTGAGATGGACCCCCATACGTTTCGCCTTTCCCGAGTCCCAGCAGAAGAGCCAGTTGGTTTGGCCCCAGTGGATCAGCCCAGTGCCTTCTCTAGAAGAAGATGCATATGGTCAGCCTCCATGAAAGCTTCAGTAGAAGTGACTACTCTGCTCATGGGCATTGAGGACTACAACAGACAGATGTTTCATTCCAATGCACTTCCTTTGGGGGAACGTCCCTGGCAGATTTTGTTCCAGCTGCGGGAGGCCGCTCAGAGATGGCTGAGACCACAGGACCGCACCAAAGGACAGATTGTGGACGTGGTCACTTCTACTGAAGCTTTCATGGAGGCTGACCATATGCATCTTCTTCTAGAGAAGGCACTGGGCTGATCCACTGGGGCCAAACCAACTGGTTCTTCTGCTGGGACTCGGGAAAGGCGAAACGTATGGGGGGCCATCTCAAAGGAAAGATTGCAACTAGCTTTTGGAGAAATGCTACATATATCTCACTTATTAGGAAGCGGACC